CACTACCAAACGCCTAATTTTGTCTCAATTGGCAAGAATCTTCGATCCACTGGGATGGCTTACACCAGTCACGCTACAAGGAAAATGCTTCATTCAAGAGCTGTGGAAACTACCGTTAACTTGGGACGAACAACTGGAGCCTAGTCTCGTCAATTATTGGCAAGAATATGCAAGGGCATTGCCAGAGCTAGCCAGGATCAATATACCACGCTGGTCTGGAAAATCGAGCACAGATTCAACGGAGCTACATGGATTTTGTGACGCATCAGAAAAAGCATATGCAGCGGTGGTGTATACAAAGGTCGGAGACAAAATCACTTTGCTAGCTGCGAAAAGCAAAGTGAACCCAATAAAAAACAAGAAGACAATTCCCAAACTAGAGCTATGTGCAGCTCATATACTATGCAAACTATTAACAAAAATTCAAGCAATAGTAGGAAATAATATCAAAACGATAGCATGGAGTGATTCACAAATTACACTAGCTTGGATAAACAACAAGCGTAGCAAGGACAGATTCGTCAAAACCAGAGTAGACGAAATAAACAAGGAACTGCCTCACGTCGAATGGAAATACGTGAAATCGGCAGACAACCCAGCAGATGTTGCCTCAAGAGGAATCGCCCCGGAACACTTAGCAGCATGCGACATATGGTGGAAAGGGCCTGAGTGGCTGACAAAACAACCACATCAGTGGCCACAATTTGAAGAGCCAGAAACTGTTATAGTAGCAACTATAACAACAAAGGAAAACTACCTGAGTCCACTATTAACAAGGTTCTCGTCAATAAATAAGTTAACAAGTGTGATGGCCTACATATTACGCTTTATTGCTAAATCAAGGGGAAAGAAGCATCAGCCGACGCACCTAACCGTCGAAGAACTAAAGCAGGCCAAAACACTCGTTGTAAAATTGCAACAACAACTTGATTTTGGACATGAAATAAACTTACTCAAAGCAGGAAAACCTTTGGAAGCTAAAAGTAAATTACAAGCGCTCAACCCGTTTCTGGATGCTAATGGAGTCTTACGTGTGGGAGGCCGTCTCCAAAGTGCGTTGGTACCATATAATGTGAAACACCCAATTATAGTTGGAAAATCACATCTTTCTTGGCTAATCATAAACAACGCACATAAGGAAACCTTACATGGCGGACTGAAGCTAATGAGAAACCTCATTCAAAGAGAATTCTGGATTGTCGGCTTACGGAACACGCTTAAGAAATACTTACGCGAATGCGTTACCTGCATCAGGTACAAACAAGAAATGGCCAGTCAGTTAATGGGAAACTTACCAGTTTATCGAGTAACAGGCGATTACCCGTTCCAAAACACTGGTATTGATTACGCTGGACCTTTCCAAATTAGATGTTCCAAAGGAAGAGGCCAAAAGTCATACAAAGGGTACATATGCCTATTTGTATGCATGGCCACAAAGGCTCTACATCTGGAAGCGGTCAGTGACTTATCATCAGATAAGTTCTTAGAAGCTCTACATCGATTTTTTGCAAGACGAGGCAAAAGCGAGAACTTGTATTCGGACAACGGCACTAATTTCGTAGGTGCCGCTAGAATATTGGACAAGGAACTGGTCGCAGCTATAAAAGGAAATAGCAGTATCGCACCAGTGCTGGAACGAGAAGGCATCAAATGGCACTTCATCCCGCCGGCAAGCCCCCACATGGGAGGAATATGGGAAGCCGGAATAAAATCAGTAAAACACCACCTTAAGCGAGTCATCGGCGATAACAGCTTCACGTTTGAGGAGTTTTCGACACTGCTATGCCAAATTGAAGCAGTACTAAACTCACGACCCCTGGTTGCCTTAAATAATGACACAGAGGGAGACGACATATTGACACCCGGTCATTTTATTGTTGGACGACCACTGATTGGAGCTCCAGAACACTTTGACGAGCATAGAAAAATTGGATCTCTAGATAGATGGAGACACATGCAACGAATCAGAGCAGAATTCTGGAGGAAATGGAAAGAGGAATACCTGGCGTCGTTGCAACAGCGAACCAAATGGCGACAAGCAAATGCAAACCTCACAGAAGGCCAACTTGTTCTATTAAAACAAGAAAACACGCATCCCGCTAGATGGCCCATGGGAAAAATTACAAAAACTACTAAAGGACAAGATGATAAAGTTCGAGTAGTCACAATAAAAACAAACATGGGTGAAGTCAAAAGATCAGTAAACAAGATCTGTTTATTACCCACTAATGAAAAGGATAAACAAGACGACTCTACAAAAGACCGAAGAAAAACACGGTCAGCAAAGTTACCTGCCGGAAAAGCGACAATCTTAAGTCTGCTAATGGTATTGCAAGTAGCAAGTGCTGCAATCATACCTGCTACAAACATAACCACCAAAATCAAAGTTCAAGATATGGATCCACAAACGGCAATGCTAATGGATAAACTTGGAAAAGTGGAAGTCGTCTCTTCAAGCTGGCAGATGCTGTTCTACTACGACATGCAAGCTTATTTCGAAGTGCTAAAACAAGCAGATGAACTCATGAGCAAAACAAACATCATTTGCGAAAAATTGGGCGATTTCAACGAATACTGCACAACAGTGAGCAGTACAATAATGTTAAAAATTAAAAACATTAGAGAAAAAAATAAAATTATCACCCAAACGGCCAACAGATCGAAACGGTTCATAATGTTTTTCGATATTGGCACTGCAAACAGACTGGAAGAAAACATGCAGACAATAATCAAAAACGAAAAGCGGCTAAGTGATTATGTCAGCAACCAAACATCCATCATAAATGCAACATCAAACCTTGTACAAACCACTACAGAGGAGGTAAATAAAAACTTCGAAAAGGTTACAATGGAGATAAATAAAATGGCAAACACTATGAAGGATAACTTTTTCGTCTACAAAGAGTCCATAAAGTTCTTTATGTTGATCAACCAAGTGAGAAGCTGGATTGAGGAAACCAAGGATCTCCAGTCAGCAGTAATTTCCCTGGTGACAGATATTAACCAAGGAAAAGTGCACCCGTCCCTAGTCGAACCAAATAAGATGTTAGCTGAACTCAACAAGATCCAACAGAAACTGCAGAGGAACCAACTTCTTCCTGGCGAAAACTCTCCGAAAAGACTTCAGTTAGTATACAAACTAATGAAAGCGCAAGCAATATTTAAGGACAACATGCTAATCATAGACGCAAGGCTACCAATATACATAAACCAGCATGCTACTCTCTTCGAAGCAATACCAATACCACTCGTATTGAAAGGAAGAAAAGTTATCCCGAAAACTAAAACTAAATTCCTTATCTTCAATACTGAGATAAACGCATACCACTCAATGACTGAAATGGAAGTAAGTCATTGCCAGCATGAAGACGAGATCACATACCTGTGCGAAGGAAGTTGGGCGTGGGAAGAGGCAGACGACGAAAGTTGTGAAATATCTCCAATAAAACCAAGCACCAAGCAGCCATGCAAGATGATGGAATACGAGGGAGACACGTTCGTCAAGAAACTCAATGGAAAAAACCGATGGCTCTTTAAAGTATTTAAGGAGAAGTCTGCCCACATTATATGCGGAAACTACGAGGAGATAGTCCAGCTACCAAACCAAGGCATAATCGAGCTATATGCTGGATGCTCAGCCAGAATAGGTAAAATTAACATTATTACTCCGCAGGATCTAGTATCTACAAATACTGCAAGGTACTCGCCACTCTTCCTCAAAATAATCGACCAGAACGTCACATGGGATTCAACACCACTTCAACACATTGTCGTAAATAACTCAGTAGAGCTACAACGAGTTCAACAAAGCATAGAAGACCTGCACCGGCAAAAGGTACATATTGAAGATCTTGTCTTCCACACAATGAATGGACATATTTCGTTGGGACTAGTAATAATTATAATATCGCTATTTATCGTGTATCTAATCAAGAAGAGAAACCAGAGACAGCAATTGTTAGCTATAACCTTCTCTGGCCCCCCGCAGAATGTTCATGAACATGCATGAACATGGAAATATGATAAGTAGGGGAACGTACGCGCTATGCACTCGACAGCTAGCATAAAATAAATAACATATGTCTCAAGTGTGAACTGTCAAACTGGGCATACATTATGACCCTGACCCTTAGCGATTAGAATACGTAAGAGGCGAGCGCTGAGCATTACAAACTCAGCGATAGCATAAGAATAGCTAATAAGCCAACGCGGAGCCTTACAACCTCAGCGATAGGATAAGAATAGATAATAGAACCACGCGGAGCCTTACAAACTCTGCGATAAGATAAGAACATGCAATAGACCAATGCTGAGCCTTACACACTCAGCAATAGACGCACTAGATTTAAGGGTTGAAATTATGCATGAGTCTGGGTATATAAACCCAGGCTCAGAAGAATAAAGATCAATACGAAACTAAACACCATCATAGTGAAGTGTATTCGTTCAAATACTATCAATGCACTTGGCCAAAACACATTCTGGTCAACGTGTGCATTTCCGCCACGAGCGCCGAGTCAGCACCACCGTGAGAGCCATCGTGTCACAAGACACCTATCAGCAGCAACAGCAGTGACCACGGCGGCAGCGACGCCAATATCAGCAGCGGCAGCTTTCATATAAATAGTACTTGTATAATTATTCTTAAGTTAGTTCTAATCCAACTCCGAAAGAGAATAAATGTTTTTTAAATCCAAAAACCGCTTTCGAATATTTAATTTACATATACATATTTGAGGGAGCAGAGAGAGCGAGAGAGCAAGAACAAAAATTGAGCATAGAGGCATCTTTTATTCAACATTTGACCATCTCGGTCGAGCGCATGAAGCGAAATGATTGTACTTTCGGATATTTTCGTAGCCCGAAAAAAGTAAGTAGAAGAGCCGAATACGAAGTGGTCTGGGAGATTATGCTCGACAAAAAGTGTGCAAAACGCTTTACACTGCGTGTCCGGTCTACGTGTTCTCTGGTTAGTGCTGCGACGCAACTCATATACTCACCGTAGCAATTCATATACTCGGCCTCAAAACTTATTTATTCTTTGTCGCTCAATACAATGACTTGGACGAACAACATTGTATTGAGGAAGTAGTACTTCCTACCACTGACCAGAGAACACATAGACTAGACATGTAGTACAAAGTTTTTCAACACCGAAAAATCTGTCTCCTAGGCAGTGTTGCCGAATCAGCTATTTTGTAGCTAGATCTGGCTACTTTTTAATGCCGATTGCTACAAAAATTTTCAAACAGCTATTAGCTACAAATCTGGCTATTTTCAAATATTAAATTTAGCTAAAATGCAAGCGAATTTATAACAAAATTCGCTTCGATACTTTTTAAATGTAAATGATTTAAATGTACTGAGCTTTGTGTAGAATTAATACTACAAATGAAGAATAGGTAAGCTTTCTAATATGCTATGCAAAATTCATTTCTTATCAGTTTTTATACCCTGACCCATTGACGCCATCATTTTGTAAAAAACGCATTTCAAGTACTAGAGACTTGTGCTTTGGAATGTACACACATTTTAGCCATATGATCACGTTTTGAAAGTTTCATTAAGATTGTATGTCCACAAAACATATGGATTACGCCGATATGGCAAATGTTGCTACGAGTCTTAAAACGAAAATACAAGAAATTTGCAGGCATAATGGTGGTACGAGATTGATTCTCGTATCGAGGTTCAAATCAAATCACAATTTCCACCTGTGTTGAATGATGGGTTTCCGTATAAATTAAAAGAAACCTAGTGGTCAAAGTTAAGTTTAAAGCACTAACTATATAACAAAATTAAAAGGCGGTTGTCTGGAAATCTCTAATCAACAAGCAAAGCATAAATATGCAAAAATAAAAACATGAATTGCAGAGACCTTCTATTCGATCGTGGAATAACCCTTACCCTAGTAGGTCTTAGAACCAAAGAGGAATACTTTGGGCTTCCCTTTCGGAAGAGAATAAGTCTGGCAACAATATATAAAAGAAAAAAGTAAAATAAATAAATAAATGAAACGAAAGCAAGAGAGAGACCAGATGATTGTGGAACCACCCTCACCTAAGTAGGTCTTACACCAAAAAGGATCCTGAGGGCTTCCCAAGCCATATAAAATAATAAAAACTGTTTGCCGGTTCGGTAACAAAAGATAATACAACTAGTAATTCAGTAATTCTATAACAGACAACGCAATAACACACGTGGTAATACACACACGTAATTCAATACAATTAGTAATTCAATGAAATAATATAAAAGAAATAATATTCACGTCAACTATTTAAAAAAGGTTTTACGACTGTTGAGCTATCGAGATTTTTCGAATAGCTTTAAATTATTAAACGATTGAATTTACTTAGTGATTAGTTTATTAGCGATTATTAGAGTTTACAGAGTTTATGTGATAGACGCGAGCAAGCGACTAGTCTGTCGTGCTGTCCGCTACTATGTTTGTAATAGTCAATCTAACACTGCATCTGCTCTAAACAAGAGTTAATTGCATACTAACTACAATGTACGCGAGCCGGCGGATTAAGCTGAGCCGGTGCGTGGGTGAAAGAGACAACGCAAAAGGGAGAGCGTGATCTCCGTTACAAATTCTCTTACATGATAACATATTCTATGAACTGCCGCTCTTAATTACAATGAAGCGATGATTGCTGAGCCCAACATCCTCCCCCCGTTGAAGACTTAGTCTTCAACAGAATCCTTAAGGGGCAGCAAGCACAGCTTATTTGTAGCTCTTCTTATCTCGCCAGCTTCTGTTTTTAGTAGGGCTACCCGTGCAACGCCATCACTTCCAGGGATAAGTTCGATTATTCTGGCTAGTGGCCACTTAAGTGAAGGTAGATTCTCATCCTTCACAAGAACTATGTTGCCAACAGCCAAGCCAGGTTTGGAAGTTCTCCATTTCGCTCGCTGTTGTAACAAGTTGAGATATTCGTCCCGCCAACGAGTCCAGAACACCTGCTGGAGATAGCTTACGCGCTGCCAAGCATCCAAACGATTAAAATTGAGCCCTGTCAGGTTTGGCTCACTGAAGGACGAAGGAGGGCCACCGTTGATGAAATGCGCAGGAGTCAACACGTCTATGTCTGATGGGTGCTCTGAAATCGAAACTAAAGGGCGTGAATTAACGACAGCAGCGATGTTGCAAACCAGTGTGCGAAGCTCATCGTAAGTTAGGACGGAGGACCCAACACATCGGTAAAAATGATGCTTCGCTGTCTTCACTGCAGCCTCCCACAAGCCACCAAAGTGAGGTGATCGTGGAGGGATGAAATGCCATTCGATTGAGTCTGCCAAACAGAAATCCTTCACAGCCTTCTGGTGGGTGTCTGACAGAAATAGACGCTTCAACTCCTGAAGCTGATTGCGGGCACCAAGAAAGTTTGTGGCGTTATCCGACCAGATTTGACTTGGCTTTCCTCTGGTGCATATGAAACGTTGAAGTGCATGCAAAAATGCCGCGGTAGTTAAATCCTTGACTAACTCCAACCAAATAGCCTTCGTAGCAAAACAAATAAACACACAAACGTAGCATTTCACAGGCGCCTTGTTTCGTGACTCAGGCTTGTAAAAGAAGGGTCCGCAAAAGTCGACTCCAGTCACTCCAAAGACCCGATAGCCGTCGACTCGATCCTTGGGTAGATCTGCCATTATGTGTTCAACGAGTCGGGGCCTTGCACGAAAGCAAATTACGCATCTCTGAATTACACTGGCTACAGTTTTTCTACCTCCAATTGGCCAATATTGGGAACGAACCAACGCTAGCACTGCTCGGGGACCAGCGTGCAAGTTTCGCTGATGGAAATGCATTATGATGGCTCTAGTTACTGGATGAACTTTGGGCAAAATAATTGGATGGCGACTATCGAAATTTAAAGTTGAGTTTTTGAGACGACCATCGACACGTAGCAGCCCAATCTCATCAAGGAACGGTGACAGCGAGGCTAGACTGCTGGATGACGGAACCATTCCTTTATTTCGAAGAGCATTTATGTCGTCTGAGAGATGTGTTCGTTGAATCATTCTTAACAGTATATGAGTGCCGTTCCGGATGTCTGCTAGGGTTATTCCTGGACCATGACTTTTTTTAATAAACTTTGATACGTATGCAAACGTACGCTGCAAGCGGCCGAAAGAATTCACAAACTTGCAGTCCATAGAGACATCATGGACTGCGTCCTTTACAAGAAGCACAGTTCTTCGACGCTCAATTGAAGTTCTTTCTGGAAGTGCTGAGACTGGCCACTGAGATCTGGGCTTACAGAGGAAACCTGGACCGTTGAACCAATGTAATGATGCATTTAAATCCGAGGGCAATGCACCCCCGAGATAATATATCCGCGGGATTCAGTGTTGTAGGTATATAGTGCCATTCCATTGCTGATGTGAGATCTTGTATCGTGGCGATGCGATTTGAAACAAAAACGTTAAATCGTCCGGGCTCGTCATTGATCCAAGAAAGCGCAACAGTAGAGTCAGACCAACAATGAAACTCGCCTGCGAAAATGCCTAAGCGAGCCACTTCATTCATTAGACGCGCAAGCAACTCTGCCCCGCATAGTTCCAGCTTGGGAACCGTGAGCGTTTTTAGAGGCGCAACTCGAGACTTAGAGCAAAGCAACCTGCTGATGGTATGCTGACCTCTGGATACAATATAAATGCAAGCTCCGTATGCCTCGATGCTGGCATCGCAGAATCCATGGACCTCAACCTTCGATCCTGGTATTAATGATAGCCTGGGAAATGCACTACTAAGACCATTGCCAAAGTTGCTGCAAATGTCTAGCCATGCAGTGTGACATGCAGACGGGAGACTCTCATCCCAATCAAGTTTATGCCTCCAGAGTTGTTGCAAGAAGATTTTAGCTTTCGTTATTACTGGGCCGACCAGGCCGAGGGGATCATAAAACCTAGCAATAGACGAGAGAACAGAGCGCCTGGAGGGCTTAGAGGCTGAATTCAGAGCTAGATATGAGAAAAGAAGTTGATCAGATGCCGGATCCCATGCAAGGCCAAGTGTCTTTGTAATGTCGCTGCCATCATTGAACCTAATGAGCGATTCCTTGTCGCAGTCTGTTACGCCGTCCAGTACCATGGGATGGCTTGAACACCACTTCCTCAATTTAAACTTCCCACATGCCAAGATTCCAGCTGTCTCTTGCATAACAAGTCTTGCTTCTTCGACTGAATTTCCTCCACTAATCAAATCATCAACATAGAAATCGCGAAGCAGTACGTCGGACCCGACTGGGAATGCGTTCCTTTCATCTACGGCAAGCTGATGCATGGCGCGCACAGACAAAAATGACGCTGGTTTTGTTCCATATGTTACCGTATCAAGCCTGAAAACTTCCAACTCATCATCTGGCGAATTCCTCCATAAAATGCATTGTAGATAGCTGTCCGGCTCAGGTACTTTCACGCAACGATACATTTTGCAAATATCGCCGGTGAGTGCAACTGGATAAGATCGGAAGCGCAATAATATGTCGACTAATTTTGGCTGAATGACGGGACCTGACATTAGAATGTCATTCAACGAATGCCCAGTTGTTGTAGATGCAGATCCATCAAAGACGACGCGAAGCTTGGTAGTTGTGCTATCATCCTTCAGAACGCAGTGATGAGGAAGAAAATATCTGCATAGATGGAATGAATTTAGAGGAACGCGTGACATGTGACCAAGTTCAAGATACTCTTTCAGAAATGCTGAGTATTGAGACTTTATATGCGGCAAACGACTCAATTTCTTCTCCAAATTGAGAAACCGATGTCGCGCTTGCTCATAAGAATCTCCAAGAAGCTCGCAACTAAGCTTAACAGGCAGGCGTACTGTATATTGGCCACTAGCCAATCGATTGTAATGCCTCGCAAAATGCGCTTCGCAGTCTGAGTCTTCCTTGCTGAACCTTACAATGGAATCGCTGCAGCGCTCAACTTCCCAAAAGCGACGAACGAGACTGTCCAACTTGATATCAGCACAGGAGTCTGTAATCGGATCCAAAGGCGTCTTTGAAGCTATTAGCACGGAGTTGTGGTTGCGAGCCTCGCCACCTGATACAACCCAACCAAGACGAGTCTTCTGTAACAATGGAAGTCCAGGCATCAACTTGATTTGTCCCACACAGAGCAAATCATAAAACAGGCTAGCTCCGATAAGCAGATCTACTCGTTGCGGCCTATGGAAAGCTGGATCTGCTAGCACTATATTTTGCGGTATGCTCCAATTGCTCGTATTCACATTAGAACTGGGCTGCCTGCCAGTTATATTTGTAGCTACCATAGCCGTTATGCTAGTTGTATATTCAGATGCATGAGCTTGAAGAGTGAGGCAAATGCTGCTGCCATCCATGGCAACATTGGAGTTGCCTACGCCGCATACAGATGCCACCGATTTTGTTCTCTTAAGTTGCAGGAGATTCGCAAATCTGGCTGTAATGAGATGTAGTTGAGAGCCTGAATCTAAAAGCGCACGACAAGGAACAAGCTCGCCAAACCGATTCCTTGCCAGAACCACTGCGGTAGCCAGGAGCACAACATCGCTGTGCTGATCCTTGGATAAGAGAGTAGTGGCTGGTGCTGAGGGCTGAGGGATGGTCTGTACTCTTGATGTTGAAGATTGTTGATGGGGCGGAATTGCTGCCTGCGATGTGCTGGAGTGGCCGAGATGAAGAAGCGTATGATGCTTGACTCCACAGACCCGACAACTGCGCGAGCCACATTGTCGCGACTGATGACCTCCCTTGAGACAATTCAAACATAAGCCAGCCTTTCGGACCTCATTCAGGCGAAGACTAGGAGACAAGTTTGCGAATCTTGGGCATTTGTAGATTGTGTGCTCAAGATCATTACAAAAATTGCAACTGTGAGTACTGTGGCCGGTTACGAGAAATGCTGATCTACTGGTAGCAACCTTACTGCAAGAATTCATCGGCTTACTTGACGAATAGTTTGTAAGAGCAAATTTCATCGATTCCAAAGTACGGCAACGAAGCTCAAGAAATGAGGAGACTTCTTCATATCTGGGTATCTGAAGAGCCGTCTCTGAGTTGTCCAATTTCTCTTCCCATTTAGCTTGTGAGGCCTCATCAAGCTTCTGTAGCAGTATCTGAGCAATCATGGCACTGGCTATCTGCTCTGTTGTGCCCAGACTACTGAGCGCACGCATATGGACATTGAAGCTGTCAGATAGCTCACGCAGCTTGATTATGGTTCCGTTTTCTACTCTTTTGAGACCTAAGATCTTTACGATGTGGGCCTGGAAGATTAAACGTCGGTTATCATATCTCTGCTTTAATAAATTTATGGCAATTGTATAATTATCATTAGAAATTTCCAAAGAGCGAACCGTATCCAACGCTGCGCCATCGAGGCAGGACCGGAGGTGCTGAAGTCTTTCCATATTGCTGATTTCTGGCCGACTTTCAATGATTGTAGAAAACATTGAGTAGAAATCAGCCCAATTAGCATATCCACCGCTGAACGTAGGTAACTTTAATGGCGGCAACGCAGGTGCAGCCTGCAATCTGGGAGCGGATGCGCGAGGAGGGTCACTTGGACGACTAAACGTGGAACTATGATGCACTTGAGCAGTACGACTTTGCACTTCGGACATTATTGTTGACTGCATGACCATTATTAAATCATCAAAGTCAGTGCGCAAATTGCTGGACATCTCAGTAAAGTCGAGCTCCTCTAGACTTTCATGGGCCTTGCTAAAGGAGTGGCTTAGCTTGTCGATATGCTCCAGTAGAACATTTAGAGTGCTGTCACTGTGATCGGCAAGAGCATCTGAATCGACCTTGGATTGTAGCTTTTTTACGCGTTCAAACACCGACTGTACCTTGAGCTTATAAAACCGCACGCGATCTTCGGGAGCAACTGCACTAGCATCTAAATTCGCCATGACGAGTACAGCAAGAGCAACACGATAGAGCTCAAAGTCGTTGGTGCGAGCGCGATTGCAAGAGTAAGTAAATGTATATATAGCGCAGACACAAACTTGGAATAAGTCGTATTTGTCGAGCAGAGTACTTGCAACTTTAATAAACTGGCAAAGAATTATATTATGGTACTCAAATAATATACACGTATGAATTGTTGCACACCGGTACGATTATTATGGACGCGCTCGTATCGCAGCCGTGGCGAAAAAGTGCAATGTCAACGAAGAATAACGGCAAGCATGTAATTACACTGTGCTTATGCAAACTTAATCACTTATAGATTGAAGCTATAGAACACGCAGTCACTAACCATAGACATAGTTCAGAAATTAGCTGATTCTTTATTAGATTGTCATTTGCAGAAGTTTTCGCATGTGTACTACTTTTACGGGCGCCAGTGTATTGCAGACCGAACGAAAGAGTGTCTGGCGAATTGGCAAAGTAACGGCACGCAACTAATCGCTATATACACTGCTTATATTCACGGGTGTATGTATGTATGTGATGCTGTCAATATATATATGCAAATATGTAGAAAGAAACGAAAATATCACGTCGGGGTCACCAAATGTTGAGCTATCGAGATTTTTCGAATAGCTTTAAATTATTAAACGATTGAATTTACTTAGTGATTAGTTTATTAGCGATTATTAGAGTTTACAGAGTTTATGTGATAGACGCGAGCAAGCGACTAGTCTGTCGTGCTGTCCGCTACTATGTTTGTAATAGTCAATCTAACACTGCATCTGCTCTAAACAAGAGTTAATTGCATACTAACTACAATGTACGCGAGCCGGCGGATTAAGCTGAGCCGGTGCGTGGGTGAAAGAGACAACGCAAAAGGGAGAGCGTGATCTCCGTTACAAATTCTCTTACATGATAACATATTCTATGAACTGCCGCTCTTAATTACAATGAAGCGATGATTGCTGAGCCCAACAACGACCATGTGAGAGCATTACTAATATATTTATCTCCACAGGAAGCAATTCTACGAGACGATTATTAATATTTTCTTATCTCCACTGGAAACGGTAAATAGCAGCAGCTTGGAAACAATGAAAAGCTGATTTAATATAAAAAATTAGATCGATAACATAGTAGGCATCGAATTGAATAGTAAGTTTTCCGACATTGAAATAATTTAGTTCGGAACGTTGCAAGGGCTGAGCGCGGCAACAACTGTGTTAGCCGATCAATTTTCAAGTCTTAAGGAAGATTTGAAGCAATTGAATTGGAAAGTGGATCGTTTGGAAAAGGAGGATACTAATCAGTCTCTCATAGAGGAACAAACCTCACTGGCCCGTCCACGTTCGGAGCTTGAATTAAATGAAATTTCGTCATTGCCGGACTGTGTTAAAGTGTTGCCCACATTCGAGGGAAACCCTTCACAATAAGCCTCGTGGGTAAACAGGATCGAGTCCATACTTGAAGATTATTCTATTATCAAGGAAAGACCTCTATATCGCTCGATAATTTTACATATACGAGGAAAAGTGATTGGAAATGCCGATGTTTCACTGCCTTAAAGGCAAGCGAACAATGAGTCGTAGTATTGTCCGCATTAATACAATCATATAGATATAGAGCTTTAGATGTTTTCATAAGGGGACTAAACGGTGACCTACCGAGGATGTCAACAGTTAGCAAACCTAAAAATTTACCGGAAGCTTATGCCATTTGTGTGAATTTACAGAATATTTCATTAAGAAGTAATTGTGTACAAGGGACATATATGTCTCGTGGAATTAATGATTATCAACAAAACAAAAACTGGAAAAATTCTTCATAAATCAGATTTAAGAAAATAGAAAAAAAAAAGGAAAATGCACATTTAATTATATTGTAATAATCCTCTTTTAACTTCCTTGACTTCCTAGCACCCATAGCACATTTAATTATATTGCAATAATCTTCTTTTAGCTTCCTTAACTTCCTTAGCACCCATAGCATCCACAGCATTTTACACGTGGTATATCCCTCCTAGTTTCGATCATTCATGGTAATAGGGATTTCCGAGATGCCAGACGGAATGAAATAAATGCGTTTACAATGTTGGATGTATTGTCATAACCACAAATGAATACTAAATGTATGGAACTATGAATGCTTTGAATTAACTTGAAGGTGGATATCGATGGCCCTCTTTATGCTAATTTATGGACTCTGGATAATAAATTTATATTGGATAATTATCATTATATTGGACAATTTATATTGGATGGATATCGTATTAGATAAATATCATTATATTGGGCAATTTATATTGGATAATTATCATTATATTGGACAATTTATATTGGATGAATATCGTTACAATGGACATATGCACCCTGATCTGCGGGATGCAGATATTTAGATGGGGAAGAGTTAAGACTTTCGACAATCTAAGGAGGCTGGAGAGTCCAGTCAGACATTCAAGGGGAGAACCTAACCAGTTGAACAGATTTAGTTCAGTCTATATTCGGACTAGAGAGAGTTTAGACCTAGTGTTCCAAATTATATAAAATATATTATTTCATTGAACACGAAGTTGTTATATATTCACAAGAACCCAACACAGCGCACAGTGGTTGGGCTTGTATGGAGAGAGCGGTCAAAAATAGTTCCAGTTGAGATATCGAGCTGAATTTTTTTTTATTTTATAATAAGACCTTAGGAAGTGAATTTAAAACAAAAGGGGCGTGGTCCGTTCATTATACGCCTTACAAAAAAAATTTTATCAAATCACAATATAATAAAAAACCAAAAACCAACAAAATTAAAGACAAAAATAAGAAAAATATTGGTCTATTTCTTTATTAAACTAATCTTCTAATAATTGAATTGAAGAATTCATTAGTTTTGACTTTGCTTTGCACGGCAAATCTCTCTGCTCTGTAATAAATGGATCAGAGCTCAAGAGCAATCTGTTTATCAAATCCGTGTTTGTAGCAATGCGTGATGTTTTTCGGGTGTGCTGGCTTCTAAACATTTTTATATCCTTATTTCGGGATTCTGCGGCTTCTTCAGATAATTCCCCAATAGAAAGGAGGCAATAATTAATTATATCAGCTGAATGAATCAAAATTTTGTGCACGCTAGGTGGAAGATAATACCAAGGATATTTTTGTAATAGTTCTTTGGCAGTTTCCAGGGCATACTTTTGAAAATTATCAACGTTAATTTTATATCCCGATGATATCACTTGAAGCAATGTACCACATCTGACTATAAGGTTTGTATCTAATCCAGTAATTTGTGCAGATACTTCCGGGTTATTAAAAAATGTTCTGGCAGTATTGCCATCATTTGAAGTCCCGCTTCCTCCAGTTCTTGGTTTGTCCACTATAAGTCCGAGCATATCACGAAATTTAGCTTGTATCATACTTTTTCTTTCGGAAACCATTTTTTTCCCTTCTGCGGTGCTGATTCTCCAAAGCTTTTGGTCTAGCCTGTACGACAAATGAAGAAAGTATTCAAAAAATCGAATGTATGAGTGTAAAGGTGATAATCCAAACTCAAAAAATTTGGAATTTGCACTTCTCTTCAAGCAATTTTCCAAGTCATTCATTTGACTAGGTTTTGCATCACATATGTAACATTTGGCCGAAGATGTTCCACTAAGAGCATTACATATTTTTCCGTCAACCATAGTCAATTGCAATCTATGCTCAACTTGAACATTTCTCTCAGACACTAAACATTCAGTGCACTCCAATCGATTAATTTGTTCTTTGAAATACTTTTCTTCATTTAAAGCTAATTTCAAATTGCAGTCTTAAAGGTCTGCAGTAGCGTGTGGAAGACGGCCGGGGATTTTTCCAAATGATTTTGGGATCATCCGATTGTGTTACTAGCTGCAACGGTACATACGACGTAACAAACAGACTTGAATCATTGAAGTTATTATTTGAAACTTTTTGCTTATATTCCGAATGTCCCGTACTGCCATCAAATCCCCACTTTCCTATTAAAATTAAATTTTTTACTGAATCGTTGTCAATGTTGTTAATGACCTCGCATTGCAGCTTCAAAATTTGCGATGCAGTATGATCCAGTAAGCTTTGAAGATCCACTTCTGCTCCAGACTCACTTACAGTGATTTTTTCAGGGTAACTAAACGCTTTGGCTTTTAAGACTTTTTCATAGCTTGGGAAAATATCACAGAGAGATTTAGAATTTACGAAATTCCTAATAGTCAGATATTGGTGTTTTGACAAATTGGTTTCAATGATAAGCGATACAACTTCCATGATATTTACTTTCGAGCTCGCTTCAGGTAGTACTGTGGCCGATCGTAAAGCGGAAGCTACAATTTCATTAGATTTAGAAATTTCCGCAATCCTTCGTCGTTTTGTCCTATTTGAACTCTCAAAAAACATTTTTCTGGGACGTCCACGATTTGAGTTTGTTGCCAATTGGTTGACCTTACTCAACGGAATCGTTTTTTTCCCTTCCAACCATGTGCTTTGGCACTTTAATAATTGCCTTTTGTTACGCTTGTATTTTAGCCAATACGCAGCGATTTTCTTACAATCATACGTTACAACATTTTTTAGATCACATAAATTGGTTGTGAAGCCTTTGTTCTCAATGTGTTTTTGCACTGCATCAAGCACAATTTTAGTTTTGCCGGCACCAGTTCCCTTTTGAGCGCACCAAATATCAAAAATAAACATTCGCGAATATTCGCATTGATAAGAAGAACCTGACAAAAGAAAGCCAAATTACAAATAAAAAAATAAAACACAACCAAAAAAGGCGAACACGAAATAAAACAAACACAAAGAACAGCTGAGCGTCAGAGATGTTGTAGAAACATAACCTTAATGGCACAGACTGCTACCTTTTTTTTCTTACCACTTAATGGTCTGCAAATATTTGCAAACTATGGATGCGTCTTTAAAATCACAAATAATTGACGAATACAATGACATATACCACATTGGAGACGTGTGGGGGGAACACAACTAAAACC